AGATTGAGAGAGGCGTAATGTATGATTAAATGCTTTTTGTTGGATCAACAAATGTTGAGCCCTGTAAATGTGTTGTCAACCCCCAAGAAAAGGACTCGTAACCAAGCTGGGAAAACTTAAAAAGTAAAGCCTTCCAAGAAAGAAAGGGATAACCAAAGAAAAGAGTAAGGTATGAAGAAATAGTAAAGTCTATGAACAAAAGATTACTTTCTTGTCTTGTGACTTTCCTGCTTTTAGTACGATTACGATTCGTTTCTTGAACTTATAATATGCAGAGAAGAGTTGAATCCCAGAGAAAACCAGATTCCAAGGCATTTCGACCGGAGTAGTGGCAATGCCTATCGATCCGGTTGAAGGAAGATGCATGCGTTGTGGTGTTATTTATTTCCCATGCTTTATATCCATATACGTACATATGACCTTTATTTTTGGATAACAAGTTGTAAAAGTTGATTTCTCACTCACACTGAAAGGCAAAGAGTCTTTGATCATTGTCAATGGACTTCTCAGCTATCCACTTATTCCTCATCTCCCTCGGAACCCTCTCGCTCGCCTTCTTTCTCAAACTCATCCCATTCCGATTCCCCCCAATCCCATTCCGGATGGCATCCAAGTCCAAAATCCTCTTCATCGGTGGCACCGGCTACATCGGAAAGTTCATTGTCGAGGCCAGCGCCAAGGCCGGCCACCCCACCTACGTTCTGGTCCGAGAAACTACCGTGTCCAACCCGGCAAAGTCCAAAGTCATCGAGAACTTCAAGGCTCTGGGCGTCAACTTCGTCCTGGTTTGTAAAATTAATATCATTTTCTAGCCTTTTAATCCGATTAGCCAATTGGGTTTTGCTTGATTTGTTCTTTTTCTTATTTTTATTTTTTTTATATAATTTGCAGGGTGATCTGGACGATCACGAGAGCTTGGTGAAGGCGATCAAGCAAGTCGACGTGGTGATCTCGACGGTGGGGCATGCGCAGTTGGCTGATCAGGGCAAGATCATTGCTGCCATAAAAAAAGCAGGCAATGTTAAGGTGAAACTTCTGAATTTTTTTGGGTTATTCTGTTTTTTGTTAAAAAAAAAAAAAAAAATTTCTGTAAATTGCGATTGTGAATGTATGCATTGGGTTGCAGAGATTTTTCCCCTCGGAGTTTGGAAATGACGTTGACCGAGTTCACGCTGTTGAGCCTGCCAAATCGGCGTTTGAGACCAAGGCCAAGATTCGCAGAGCTGTGGAGGCTGAGGGGATTCCTTACACCTATGTGTCCTCCAACTTCTTTGCTGGTTACTTCTTGCCTACTTTGAACCAGCCCGGAGCTTCTTCCCCTCCTGGAACAAAGTCGTCATTTTGGGCGATGGAAACCCCGAAGGTAAAAACCCATGTTGCACACACACGCACACAAATATGAGGACATGGACACGCCGATTAAAATATAATACATATTACAAACATTAAAAACAATATTTTGAATTCATAATATAACAAAGTGGTCGTGCTAAATGCGAGATGCTTCACATAGGATGCAACCAAGTGGCTAAGAAATTGAAGAGGGAGGCGCCATATTAGAAAGAAAGAGAGGACTGAAGTTAGGTTGAGGTTGGAGACTCTTTTAGGTTTTAATTTCCATATTTTCAAAGTTGCCCCAAAATGTTTTTTAAATTTAAAAAAAGGCCCAAGCCGTGTCTTACCCTGGTTCAAGCTGTGTCTTGACCGTGTCCAAGCCGTTCTGCATTCGAGTCGTGTCTGGGGTGTGTCGGATTGTACACTTTGGGGTTTTGGTGTCTATGCAACCTAGGTAAAACCTAAAACTAAACCTTGGGTTTTGAACAGATGTATTTTTTTCAATTTACTGCACAAAACCCACTTTGGCTTTTGGTAACTTGTTCAGCAATAAGTAATTGCTATATATATGTGGGTTAGGCCAGTAGGTCAGAACTTTATGCACGCCCTTCTTGCACATAATTTGATGTGTGCATGCTTTTCTTGCAAGCAAATTTGATTTCTCCTTTGCGTAGAGTAGAATATAAAGGATTACTTTGTCAAAAGAAAAAAAAAAAATTGAGTAGTAGTTATGGGGTTGAATTTCTTTGGGTTGCTGCATAAAGCCCGCATTTGCGTTTTCGAAAATGTAATGGGTTCGTTTTATTTGATTTGAAGCAATTTTCAACAAGGAAGACGACATTGGGACGTACACAATTAGGGCAGTGGATGACCCAAGAACCTTGAACAAAGTCCTCTACATCAGGCCACCTGCCAACGCCATCTCATTCAATGAGCTTGTCTCTCTGTGGGAGAAGAAGATTGGCAAAACCCTCGAGAGAATCTATGTCCCGGAGGAGCAGCTGCTCAAGAACATCCAAGGTTAGTGGCAATCATTGTCAGTCTGGGAACAACTGATTTGAATTTTTTTGTTTGTTTCAAATATTTTGAGATAAATTTAAAATTGGTTGGCTATTTTTGTGTCCTTTTTGCAGAGGCAGCGGTGCCGCTCAATGTGATATTATCAATTGGTCACTCAGTTTTTGTGAAGGGAGACCACACTAACTTTGAGATCGAGCCCTCATTTGGCGTGGAAGCCACAGCTCTTTACCCTGATGTCAAATACACCACCGTCGATGAGTACCTCAACCAGTTTGTCTGAGATTTGAAAGGATGTTGGTGGTTTTATACGAGTGAAACTGGCTACCTTTACATATAAATAGTAGGTAGTTTGGTGATTTATGTTATCTCAGGATGTGTGGAAATAACTAGTATATTGGGACAGCTGCTTTCCCCTTGTGTTATCTTGTTTGTTGAATTCTCTGTGCTACCTTTTGTTAAATGATAGAAAAGACATGGGTTCTATATTTCTTCCCTCCTAATTCTGTTTGTTTTTTTCTTTTTTTGAGTTAGCTAGGGTTCCAACTTCTTGTACCTTATTTAGCTATCGACATTGAATATGGTCGTACGTGGAGATACAACACATTTATCTCTTTTTCGTTGGAAGGCTCTTCAATACACAATTTCAAGGCATGTTAGATCATCCATAATGGGGGATACATAATGTCTTGAAACGAGCGTTTCATAAATCAGAATGAAAACTATCTAGTTTTGACGGAAGATGTAAATAATAATGTGATCTCAAAGGATGTAAATAATAGAGAGCCTTGCGTAGATCATGAGGCTCTCTTTTTTTAGTTTCTTATATTCTGAAAGAATTGAAACTAGGTTAAGAACCTAAAGATACTTGAAGGGAGATTGAGAATGAGAGAATGTTGTTTGCACGCTAGGTTTGGGAAAGAGGGAGGTGTAATGTATAATTAAATGTTTTTTGTTCGATCAAATATATATTCCGTTTGGACCCGTACACTATACTTTATAAATAAAAAGAACACAATATTGAGCTCTAAAATGTTTCTTTTATAGTTCCTAATAATATTATATACATTTCTTATCTTTTTCATATATATTTATACTGATAATAAAAAAATTTAGCCAGTGCCCCCTTTCACCCTTGCTTAGAAACGGCCCTGCAAATGTGTTGTCAACTCTCAGGAAAAGGACTCGGCCTTCCAAGAGAACAGGGATAATCAAAGAAAAGAGTAACGGATGAAAGAAATGGTAAAGTCTATGAACAAAATATTTTTATTTTGTCATATGACTTTCCTGCTTTTTGTGCAATTACGATTTGCTTCTTGAACTCATAATATACAAGAAAAGTTGAATCCTAGAGAAAAATAAAAAAATAAAAAAAGAATCCGATTAGCCATTGCTTCTCTCCCTCTAGCTCTAAAAACAAAGGTGTGGGAGAGGGAGAGATCGAGAGGAATGAGATTGAGAATCAACAGATTCGAAAGGGAGGACTGAGGAGAGGAGAGTATTCGAGAAGGTGTGAGAAAATATAAGAGGAATGGGAACATGTTACAAACGGACCGGTTTGGGTACCCTTTTTTTTAGACTTCTGGAACCGGTACGCCTCTAAAATTTCAAAGGCCTAGCCTGGCCCGCCCCATTTCTCTTTTTAAAAACATTAGAACTAGGCCGTACCCATCCTGAACCATGATTACTCGTCCTGATCCGTGGTTCCCATACTCGTTTGCCCACCCCCACTTGAACTGCCTTTTGAAAGCTCAATCCTACTTCAAAAATCTACAAAAGGAAAAATTGTGAACCTAAATTAAAGCTTCTTCTCTCACTCATAAGAAAAAAGGAGTTTTAACGAAACACTCCTAATACTGTTCACTTTTAACGAAAAACCACATTTTAACCTTTTCCAAGTACTACTCACTACACCTTTATTTGTCATTTTTCATTAAAACTAAAGTTTTTTGATTTTTTCGTTAGTTTTTCATAAGAAAAATGGAAACTCTATATGGAAAAGAATTGAAATTATGCATAATGAAAAGTGGATCAAAACTCCAAATAGATTATCTTAATGCGTAGGAGATCATTGTTAGAATTCGGAAACGATTGAAACTTCATTTTAAAACTTAATCAATTGATTTATATTTCAATGGAAAGAAAGTATTAGTCAGTTTCACCTATCTTTTTAGTATCGCTCCATTTCTCTCTTTGATTAAAAGCTTGAATTTTTACTTTCCTTCCATTCCCCTGCTGCATAACAGTTTAGTAGCTCTTGTTTACCTACAACAAATTGAAAACCATTTGGGGAAAACAACTAAGCCTTTGGTTATTAGATTTGTGGTAGGCAAAGCAAGAAAATTACACATGACAAAACTATTAAAACTTTAAAACCCCACTTCCCAAATCAGGTTCTCTAACTGGCTAATGATCATATTGGATATAAATTATCATCCCGAACAATGCAACGGTTGATTTTTTTTTTTTTTTTTTTTTTTTTTTTTTTTTTGTGTTTGGGACATTCTAGTAAACTTTGCCAATAGAAGTTCCAATGAAAACCAAAAAGTGAGTGGCTAACCCAAAAAAGGTCAAATGAACTTTGCCAATAAAAATTTTGAAGCAATTCATTTTCAGAAACAAAAATCTGAAAGAAAACACACGAAGGGGAAACCAACTTTAAATTTCATACTATTTGGCCTATCCTTACCCATTTAAAATGCACTGAATAAATAAAAGGCAGGACTACAGAACACGACCCTTTAACATGCTCAGGTTCTCCACCTTATTAACTTTTTCCCTCTCCACACACTAAAATTCTTCCTCAACTTTTAAGAAGTTATTGTGCAGTTTGTTATTGTACAGTTGCAAGTTTGCCCTGCTCAGGAAAACACAGAAGTAAGATTTATAGATACATAATAAGAGAAATTCCTTATGTAATTAGCAACAATTCCAAATAAGAAGCTCACTCTGTAGACTAAAAATTGACTCCTTAACTGATGCACGGCGTAGCGAATTGAAACGAAATTAAACGAAAAGGGAAACTAATATATAGGGTCCACTATCTCCTAGTGCGAGGAGAAACCTGAAAACCCCAAAATCTCGTCTCTAGTACTAGCCTACAACATAGATAACTAAAATAACAAAGCATAACAATCTCACAAAGAGAAAGGCAAAAAACTAATACAAAGAAACACTGAGAATTTTCATTAATAAAAAACGTCCAACTTCCCCATCTTAGAGAAAGAGGTGGTATTTATAGCCATTTTGTAACATACATTCAGAAATTAAAATGGCAATAAAGTTAAAATGACAAAAAACTGAAAATATAATAAAGAAAGTAAACCAATCAGCTAAAAAATGTCCAAAACACCTTGGTTATTATTAGGAGCTACTAATAATACACGTATTAAAACATTTAATACGTGTATTAAAACATTTAATAATGTAGAGAAATTAACCAAACTCACCCACATTGAATGTCAAACCCACCTACAGCCAAAATGCTTCTGGATCTCATCAGTTGTTCCAACTAGTTTCTTCACTCCTGTAACATAAGGCAAAAATACCCACTTCAATACTACCTAAGCTCTGTAATACCTATGGAAATCTTGTATATAACCAACCTACTCTTTTCAAAAGGAATTCGGTGTATTAAAAAAAAAAAAAAAAAAAAAGGAGATTCTAAAACTTTGCAGCAGAAATAAAGAAAAAAACAAAATCTTACCATGTCATTTGACTTTAATTCCAATTGCCCTTCAGTCTCCTTATCTTTTGAACCACCATTGTCACACTCATGAATCCATAACCACGAAACCAAAGTCATTACTTTGACAAATAAACATAACCAAAAACAAAAACAACTAAAATTTTCAAATGGGTTATCCCAAAAATTACCAACCGAGTTACTGAAAACTGTGATATGGGGTCCGCAAACCAATTTGCACTGCTCCAACGAAGACCCAAGAGGAACCACAATTTGATTCCAATTAACAAAGAAGGAAAAACAATAAATAACGGGTATATACCTGTAGAAGAGTGACCAGTGCTGAGAGAGTGGTTGCCTCGGTCTGAAGCGTCTGCAGCTTCCTCTCCGGCTCATTCGTATACCTCGCTTTCCTCTCCTTCCACCTCATAGCTGATTGCCTATTAGCTAAATCCTACAAAACCAAAAAATTGAAAAACCCCCATTTCTCATTCAATCATATAATAATATCCACAAAAATTCAACGCAAACACACATAGCTGATGGCCTTTATTACAATTGAGGCAATGCGATACTTCAAACTTACGATACTCATCAAAGAACTATATGTCCTGCTCTTGAAGATCAAGAAACTGCAGGTTCTGATCTGATCAAGGAACTTCGGATCATATATATACTCATCGTAACAAAAGAAGTACAATAAATAAATTAAAGCAATAGGCGGTAATTTCAGCCAAAGTGAATAAATTGCATTTAAGTAAATAAGCTTATAACAAGGGTTTTAATTCAACACCATTCCCATAAATCCAAACTTAAAGCAGTAAGCAGTAAAACCGTTCATCATAAATAAATTGTTTTAAAGTAAATAGAATTTGAAAGTGTTTTAAGCTAACATCATTCACATATATATATATATATATATATATATTGTTTTTTCTTTCTTTTTAGATGGTACAACACCATCCGAAAGCCTTTATCCTTTTTTTTTTTAATTATTATTATTTTTCTTAATGCTGCATCATTCCAAAAACTTTGCTTTTTGTTTTCTTTTACATGGTGCAATACACCTTTCCAAAGCTTTGGCCTCATTTCCCTTTTTATTATTTTCTGTGCACAATTCCAACACATCAAAGTAGCTCTTCTGGAGCTTTATGGCTGCTGGCTTTCTTTTCCCCATGTAGAAGTCATCCTACTTAATTATCTCTCAACTGCTTGTAGGTAACGGGGAGCTCTGGGGATTTTTCAAGCTTAATTCAGAGGATTGCAATGCCATCAAAACACTGTGGCCATGGGTGTCGGCCAAAGTAGCGTAAAACTCAAAGCTAGAATTCCGGTGAGTCCTCGAGATCCATCTAGAGCGATGCGATCTGGGTTTCAAAGTCTAATGAGATTCTTCTGGATCTCTGGAAACCAGTTGTCAGGTACGAGATATCTTATCTCGTGATGACTTCAGGTCGTTGTAAATTTCAATTCTCACCAGACTTCGATTAAAAAAAATTAACTTAAATATATGCAGGTCGGTTCGGTTAACTGCATCCTAAGAATTTCAAGAACAGATTGTCAAACCGATTAAAATCAGTGCGGTTCGGTTTAACCATCGAAAATTAAAAAACGAATAAAAAACCAAACCAAACCAAACCGCTGTTGTGATTTGGGCGTTTCACTCGGTTTTTTTTTTTTTAAATGCCCAACGCTACTACACAACAAACAACACACAATGAGGCAACTGAAGCCGTCGAAAGAACTCGTGAGGAAATTTCAGGTGAGCATATTGGGAATACTATCTTTATACAAGTGTGTTGTAGGCTTCCAATAAATGGATTCCAAACCAACCTAGGTAAAACTTAGAATCACAATCTTCCAAGATAGAAAGGGAGAAGGGAAAAAAAAGAGTAACGTATGGAAAAAAGATTAGTTTCATGTTCTTATTACTTTCCTGCTTTTAGTAGGATTGGGATTAGTTTCCAGGAATCAGAAAACATGTGTTAAAAACATATTTGTTCATGCTTAATAGTTAATACAGCATTCACATACATATTTTCACTAAACTATATGAAAGAGAAAATTTGACTGCTCAATCAATCAAAAGTATGTTAGAGCATTTCCAAAGGAGATGTCAAATTCTAGGTGAAGATGTTATTGTGCATATTTGACAACAACAATTCACATGAGTTGTTAAATCCTAGGTGGAGATCCTAATATACATATTTGACATAAAAAATCCTTTCAACCAAAGTGTTATTTACTGATTGAATTTGAACCCTTTGTCATTAGGAGTCAAATTCAATAACAACGTCATATTTATTTTTTATTAGGTTCTACTCTCGTCGAAAATGAATTTGAATCACATTATTGTTAGCCTATTGTGAGGCTAAGCAAACCCCTTCTCCTAATGTAGGTAATGTGAAATTATAGCAGTCAAATTCTAGACCTGTTGCATTTATAGAAATGGTCGTAAAAAATTTACCAAATAATTATCATTTCTATTTATAATTTTCATCAGTTGTTCCAACAAGTTTCTTCACTCCTGTAACATAAGGCAAAAATACCCACATCAATACTACCTAAGCTCTGTAATTCCTATGGAAATCTTGCATATAACCAACCTACTCTTTTCAAAAGAAATTCGGTGTAATAAAAAATAAAAAAATAAAAAAATAAAAAAATAAAAGAGAGAGAGATTCTAAAACTTTGCAGCAGAAATAAAGAAAAAACAAAAACTTACTATGTCTTATGACTTTAATTCCAATTGCGCTTCAGTCTCCTTGGCTTTTGAACCACAATGGTCACACTCATGAATCCATAACCATAAAACCAAAGTCATTACTTTGACGAATAAACATAACCAAAAACAAAAACAACTAAAATTTTCAAATTGTTATAAATAGGTCAAAGTTAGAGAGATAATCTTTTAATGATAGGTATGAGGCAGATGTAAAATGTCATCCTAAAACTATAGCACAAGAGGATAACAAATAAATGCGGAGGAGGAATAGATGATGTTATTGATCTTTCTTTCTTTCTGTCTGTATATTTTTCTGTCACTTGAAAGCATACGGAGTGCTCCATTTATAGAGCAACTCCAAACTGATGCATTAACTACACATTGAAGTTTACAGCATTTCCTTTGACAATACAACCTCCATGCATTTACAAATTCAATTTCACTTTGCATAGGCATTGAAAACTTATCCCAATATTGGAAAACTTCTACTAATGTACTGTGGGCATTCATTACCCATCAGTCTTTTCAACACAAATGGGTTATCCCAAAAATTTCCAACCGAGTTACTGAAAACTGTGATATGGGGTCCGCAAACCAATTTGCACTGCTCCAACGAAGACCCAAGAGGAACCACAATTTGATTCCAATTAACAAAGAAGGAAAAACAATAAATAACGGGTATATACCTGTAAAAGAGTGACTAGTGCTGAGAGCGTGGTTGCCTCGGTCTGAAGCATCTGCAGCTTTCTATCGAGCTCATTCATATACCTCACTTTCCTCTCCTTCCACCTCATAGCTGATTGCCTGTTCGCTATATCGTTTGGTATGCAAACGGGACAGGACGGAACGAAACGGGACGGGACGAGATGGGACAGGACGGAACAGAACCGAGCGGGAGCAAAGATGCCCTCGGATGGAAACAAGGAGGAAGAAGAAAGAGACAGAGAGGTTATAATTTTGTGTTCCACGGATGACGAGTCGTTCTAGGGGGGTGGGTGGACGAAAATACCAAATCTCTCGTACAACCGTTTAGGCGCCACAAAGTGGACGGAACCCTGTCCACTTGTCCGTCTCTCCAGACCAACGGAAAACAAACCAAAAAATTGAAAAACCACAATTTCTCATTCATCATATAACAATATCACAAAAATTCAACACAAACACAAACAAGTAAAAATAAAAATTAAAAAGTGTTACCTTTCCCAACGCAAACTTCAACCACAAAAATTTGCTAGATAGACAAAAGAAATTCACAAAATTTAAGCAAATGCAATTTCTAAAGATTTTGGACAACAGAAGGCCAATTTTCCCCAGTTTAATTTTCATAATTACAAAATAATTGCAAGCAATTTAATCAATAGTAGCAGAGCAGAAAAACCCCAACGCTACTACACAACAAATTACACACAAGGAGGCAACTGAAGCCGTCGAAAGCACTCGTGAGGAATCCTATCTTTATACAAGTGTGTTGTAGGCTTCCAATAAATGGATTCCAAACCAACCTAGGTAAAACTTTGAATCACAATCTTCCAAGATAGAAAGGGAGAAGGGAAAAAAGAGTAACGTATGGAAAAAAGACTAGTTTCATGTTCTTATTACTTTCCTGCTTTTAGTAGGATTGGGATTAGTTTTCAGGAATCAGAAAACAAGTGTTAAAAACATATTTGTTCATGCTTAATAGTTGATACAACATTCACATACGTATTTTCACTAAACTATATGAAAGAGAAAATTTGACTACTCAATGAATCAAAAGTACACTAGAACATCTCCAAAGGAGATATCAAATCCTAGGTGACGATGTTATTGTGCATATTTGACAACAACAATTCACAAGAGTTGTTAAATCCTAGGTGGAGATCCTAATGTATATATTTGACATGAAAAATCCTTCCAACCAAAATGTTATTTACTGATTGAATTTAAAGCCTTTGTCATTAGGAGTCAAATTCAACGTCAACGTCATTCTTATTTTTTATTAGGTTCTACTCTCATTAAAAACGAATTTGAATCACATTACTGTTAGTCTCTTGTGAGGCTAAGCAGACCACTTCCCATTAATGCAGGTAATGTAAAATTATAACAGTCAAATTCTACATCTGTTGCATTTATAGAAATGGTCGTAAAAAATTTACCAGATAATTTCATTTCTATTTATAAAATGCCCGATTCAAGGCATTCTGTATCCCCCTTATACATGCTCTAACATAACTGTCTATAGAAGAGTTTTCCAACCGAAATGAGAGAGACGTGTTAGCGTCGATAGCTAAACAAGGCACAAAAGGTTGAACCAAAACTCAAAAGAAAAACCAAACCAGAATCTGAACGGGAAGAAATCTACAAGCCATGTCTTTTCCGTCATTTTACAAAAAGGTAGTACAGAGAGTTGAACAAAGATGCGACAAACACAGATGCGACGAACAAAGATGCGACGTAGG